GAAACATTAAATCAGAAGCTCTAAAACATCAACTCTGCAACTACCTTCTTCTTTGAACAAGTCTTCTGGCTTTCCTCATCTTCCTTCCACTTTGACTTGGTCGGCCATCAAACAAAGACACAAACCATTTTGGTTTTCCTATTCGGAAGACAAGATATCCCATCAGCAGTCCAAAAACAACTCCACATCCATAGCCTAACACCACAACTCTCCAGTCAAATCTCCACAACTTATCTTTTTCTTGGAAGGAGCTCGGTGGTGTCCCAATTCCATCACAAGATTTTGACAATGGGATTCCACACAGTCCAACGTTTCCTTCATAAGAACCATTTCCAAAGGTGTTGAACTGATTGCCTTGTGGTATGCTTCCGACAAAATGATTATTTGAAAGATTCAAAACAGAGAGTTGTGTCAAAGATACCAATTCATTAGGAATTTTCCCCGCCAGCTTGTTGGAAGAGAGATCCAACCATTCCAGATTCGTCAAATTCCCTAGCGACGGTGGGATATGACCAGTAAGGTTGTTATGAGAAAGATTAAGCCCTTTGAGAGAACTAAGCTTTCCAATAACATCTGGAATTTCTCCCTCAAACATGTTATTTGAGAGATGAATACTACTGAATACGATCAAGATTCCCTGCAGCTCATACTCGAATCCCTTCCATGTCACAACCAGTGAATATTGATAATACCTGGTTCTCGTCCACACCATCATGTATTCAGGGGAACCACCGTCTTTATGAGGGTCCATCATCGCATTAAAATTTTCAATGTACTGAACAGGCAAAGCACCAACAAAATAATTGCTGGAGAGGTCCAGAACTCGCAACTTGGGAAAAGATGGACTTTCTTTGGTGCTCTGCACAGAACCGTGGAACTTGTTGGACCTTAAGACAAGCACTTGAAGGTCTGGTAGAGATTCCAACCAATGAGGGAATGCATCACTTATGTTGTTGTTGCCAACGTCTAGAACCTCTAACATGCGACAATTCACCAAAGACCTTGGTAATAAGCCGTCCATTTGATTTCCATGTAAGTTGAGATTTCGTAATCCACAGCCCTCTGGAAAACCAAATGCTATATTTCCATCAAAGCAATTGGCCTGCAAATTCAACACTGAGAGAGACATAGGAAGACAATTTGGAATCTTCCCGATTAAGTTGTTATGAGAAAGGTCAAGAATTTCGAGATTTGGAAGCACCGAGAACATGTCAGGTACTACTAAATCAGTAAAATGATTTGATGATAAACTGAGATAACTAAGATTTACTAAATTAGCAATTGAGTTAGGAATTGAGCCCTGGAGTTTATTGTTTGACAAATCTAGCTGTGTGAGTGAGTTTTGCCGGAATTGATTTATTTGACCTTGAAATTGGTTATGACTAAGATACAAGTACTCTAACAAAGGTAGGGTGAAAATCCAAGGTGG